TGAGCTCACGCCTAAAGCAACAGTTACTTGGTATACAAGTTAACTTCATTACATCGGAACTATGTCAACTATGATAAGTACAATAACAGCGGGTTTTCCAAAACAGATGCTGGTACGACTAGTCATATGGCTTTACTTGGAAACAGCAAATCGCGGGATAATGAGGAACCTAAATATTTGAGCGGGAGGGTTTTATTTATTTACTTTTCTAATATCTCAGGTTTTGTAGTCTACAACTCAAGGATCAGAGGATTCGCACAAAACAATATAAATTAATCTTGGATTTACTTCAACACCGTGTTCAAAATTCCGATACCTCGTATTCCCGACCATAGGCCCTGCTCCTGCAGTTTGCCGATACCTTCTCGATAAACCTGACCAAAGCGATGCTTTGCATTCAAAATAAATTACTAATCAGTCTTAGGTTGCTTGGGACGTAGAGAGGCAACTGCCGTTATTCCTCTGGTTTGTTTTTATGCCAGATCTTGCCCTCGATCGAAGGAGTATACTTCGCAGATCAAATCCTCTGTGCATATGCTTCAGATGCAATAATTATAACATAATATCGCTTGCTTAGTAACTGTGTGTGGTTAAAGTACGGTGATTTAAAAGTTAATGGTGATTGAACAAACTTCTTTCCAGAGTGTGATTTAGAATAACAGCTTTTGTCGATATAGCGGAGGCCATATGACGATACCATTGTCGTGGACAGCTTTCAGCTTTCTTGGCCAGTGGGCTCAGGTCCGTTTCGCTCATTATAATGAGGTGGTAGCAAACAAACTTTAGCCAAGCTAATTAGATCTAAGCACGAACAAAGCACGTGTTTTTCCCCAGCAGAGACACAGGTAATTGGGCACACAGATGGCAAGTAGTTGATGACTGGTTATTCAATTCATCCTTTGTACTGTACCATTTCTCAACTGATTGCATCCTCAACACATTTTACTTCAGCCGTAGCCCAGTAGCTTGTATCCTTGGGGCTAAAACTGTCATCCGATAGTCACGAAAACTACATCCACTACGCCTTCAATAAATCAGCCGTCCGCCCGCCTCAAACAGATATCCGCTTGTCTGGGTGGACACTAACGTCGGACAATAACGGGGTGGAAGCGGAGACTTGCTCACGAACCATCACATCCCAAAGCCTGGGATGTGAAGGGCAGGCAAAGTCAGCACATTTTCGAACGAACGCAGATGTAGCAGTGAAGGTGCCCGAAACATTAGAGCGCGCCCCCAGGCTTGATCTAGGGCATGGTGAATAGAGTCAAAACAGTTTCACAAAGAGGGCTTGGGTGAACAAAGTCAGTAGAGTCGTGGATTCAAGTTTCGTGACTATCGGATTATACTGCTGAGCTAAGGATGCAAGCTGTTGCACTACGGAGGAAAGCCATTGAGTTAAGGGCGCAATCAATTGAGAAGTGATGTATGTGCGAAACCTTATCATATGGAGAATAATCCGTGCTATGAAAGATTGTTACTTAACCAGTGTGAATCATCCAACTACTATTACTTTACAGTCTCGTCAGCTTTTTCTATTATATCAATGCAACAAGTTAATATCAGTATAAATGCTGTAGGTGGGGATGGACTAGGTATGAGCTTGAGGAATACTGTATGTGGAAAATATCTGGATGCCTAGATACCCAGTAGTTTACTCGGTCTCCCTTGGCACCTAAAATTCAATCCTAACTACAGAAATTTTCAAATTATGATTAAACTAGCAGCTACCTTGTCGCCCAAGGCCAATTCAAGTACGCTGACGTTAAAGCGATGATTGGTGAAAGCATCTAAGCATGAATGCATGACCATTCTCACGGTGGTCACAAGTCGGACAACTTAAAAACGAATAGGTTAATTGTCATTTGATGGAGCTTCACATGTCTACCGAATGGCAGAAATGAATTAACGGTGCATGAACCTGACTCCCAATTAACAGCCAACTGCTTTTTCCATTAACTAAGCAATCCTGTGGGAGTTGAAATCATCGGTAAGGAGATCGGTATGTTAACTATTCGTATTACTGCTGTGCTGTCAAACAAAAGCGTCAATCAGGATAAGGTGCAAAAAGTCGAGAGAAAGGGGATGCTAATAAAAATTTAGATACTAGCACATATACAGTTGCAATTAGGTTAAGCTTTTCTGAGACTGCATGCTCACAAAAATCTAACCATCATGTGGCGGCAAAGGAATGTTAAACTTTTCCAATTTTACCTTCATATATGGTTTCCACTGAAGTATCGACGCTATAGATTGCTTAACAGGTGGGACAAGTTACTTGACCTCTGCAACTCCGTCACTTGTACCAACGGTGACAGTATCTTGTCATATCTGGATTCAGGCTTATCGTGGCTCCCGTGGACCAGCTTGGACATTAGGTGGACTAACAGAGGCAAAGGTGCCTGTTAATAGCTTCGATTCCCGCGGACAAGTTAGTGACATTGTAGGCCCCGTATTCTGTTTTACCATCTGATGTAACGAATTCGTGTGAAAATCGCCACCTAATACTCACTAATGCACCTCTTCGTTACAAGTGCACTGGCGCAATCAATAATAGCGGTGACCCACAGGTGAGGGGGATTGAAAACCTTAAAACACCTCTGGATAGAAAAGCCCAATTCGCGCTGTTTTATGGAAGAACACTTCCCACTGCAGTCTCATAAGTCTGGCCCTGAGTCAAGAAGAAGCACATTCCGGGTACAAAAAAATAGCAGCGTGGTATATATTTGTATATGCATGTACTGCTCCTGGATAATCCAATAGACCAGCTTTGCACATGAGAATGTGTTCAGAGATGTTACTCAGTCAGCAACAAGTTAGGTATAGAGCCGCAGGTTTGCAGTGTCGGAGGGCTAGTGCTACTAGAAACAGCAATTGCACATGAAACGAAGCCGATTTAATAAAAAGAAGAAAGCTGATCCCGCAACGGCAATGACAATAAGCGATAATTGAATACGTTGATGCCCATTGCGATAAGAAAGTATCGCTCAGCTAGTTCCACTTTATGAAACATGCGGGCTTTTACTTCCAGCAAGACATGCCACCTATTAGTTGGGTCCAGAAATTGAGCAGCAAAATCTAAACAGCTTCTTTTGTTTCAATCAACGAAACAACCACTCTGGAGGTTACTGATGACAAATATTAGCGGGACAAGTGCATTACTTTGGCAGCCTAATACCCGACCCACAAAACGACACCAACAGGTGCTTGGCTAAGTGGCCAACGTTGGAGTCTGGTGTGGATTTGTACTGTTTTGCAGATGTCAGCCATGCGAGCAGGCTGATCAACACTCTAGCAAACAACTGATCTTTGAGTTACCTATAAACGGAGTTATGCAAGCTATTGCCTCATCAGTTGCAAAAACTGTTAAAAATACATTGTACATGCCCTGATGTTCACCCAGGCTTTTCGATGATAGCCATTCTTTCAGCTATCTGGGAATTACCGTCTCTAATAACTCATTTCCAGTGGACCACATGAGCTAAACATGCTGCTATCTCTTCGTAAATGTGAATAAAATAGGGAGAATAAGTAAAGTCGATGTTGCGGATATATATTGAAGCGGATAACTTCCAAGTGAACCAAGCTAATACGCTTATCACCGATAATGCAAAAGTATGTACAGAAACAGGACCAACATAATACGTTAACTTGCATTAAACAGGCCAAGGCATTAACTGAGATAGATATCATTAGTCAGGTGGCTTGGTAAACACCTGAAGGAGATTTTCCATCACATTGCGAAAGGAAGTAATCCCAAACATAGCACGCGATCGTTTCGTTAGATCTGAGAAGGCTGGGAGTCTGCTATATTACGACGGGAAGTAGGTAACCTCTTTACTCAAGCAGTCCGTTTGATTCCCTCTAGTAGCTTGTTCCGAAGACCGTACTTGTCTTGATATAACCTCAATTTAAATAAACACGCTACTGCGAGCTAACGTAAATTCCAACTAACACTGATCCCATAGTTGAAGTCCTTGCCAGTTTGCTTGTCCAAAACATTGCACTCTCTCTGCCTAATTTGGTTCTTCTCTAAGCTTATTTAATCGAAATGGTCACACCTATGAATAGAGGCCGGTGCTCAGTGCATGACGGTTGAGACCTTATCCACTGTTCTACCGTGTTTATCAGGTAATGATTGGCCCCTTTGTTATGAAATTATCTTTGGCGTTTGGCATACGCAACGCTGTTTCAATAGCTTGAATGACACAGAGTCACTGTTCACTTGCGATTCTGTGAACTGGATGGTGAGTAGTTTGTAGGTAATCAGCAAATTAAAATAACTTGCTAACTGAAATGATAGACTGTATTATGTTCATTCATGGTAAGCAAACTGTTACCAATTCACCTTAACTCCAAGCACTTCCGAGCAATTGACATCAATGGGAATTCATTTGCTGCAGTCACCGTGATTTACGGCAACACAGCGTTTTCAGTGACACTGGTATGATTATTAGAGGAAAATAAATCACAGACAAGCCTGCTGACACAAGCCGGCGAAACATTTGCGAATCCCCTTGGTTTTAACCAAGATTTGAGTTATATTGATATCCATTTGCTAGACACAAATGCTCAGAAAGACTTGGTATTGCTAACGTATATAATACGCGTTTTTGAATAAATATGTTGCTTGGACATGACTCCTAACTCCAACAGTAGAAGCGCTACTACCGGCCAAAGCCACAACTGCATGGGATTTTACAGAGTTTAAAATGAAATCTCCAAAACGCGTGTCAAGGACACACCAGGTTAGCTGTGTTTCTGTGACTAAACACTTTCTCCTCACCGAAACCCATCTTGCTCTCAGTGAGGCGCCTGACTTCCGGATTTCACGATCTGATTCAACAGTGAACCCAATTGTTATAAAGTTTGCAATTTAATATAATCACAATCTCATGTATAAAAATAAGCAAACAGTTTGCCTACTGTAATGAAACTTTTTGTACCATATATCTTTTACTTCAATTTCAAGTAATATTTAGCTGTTTACACTTATTTGTCAGGAGGTTGCTCTTCTCATTGATACACCACTGCATATTTCTATACTAGACCCACTCACTTAATGTAGATTTTAGTGACCGTGATTTCTTTTATGTCTTCCTGGTTCTACCACTCATTTCGCTGTAGAAAGGCAGTAAGTTTGTAGTGGATTTCGGTAGTTAAAGAACGCTTGTCTTTAGCGAATTCAAGCAACCCAAGAAATTGGTGATTCCATTATTTATCGAATGTAACCCGTAGCATATGCACCGGGTTAGACCACATTGCGTGTCCTGTATCGGAACTGTTTATAGTGTACCATCTGTAGTTTACCACCTGCGTGAACTTTCAAACAGTACTAAGTGCCCCTATTGGAGTATTTGGGGTAATGTGCTATTTTATGTGATAGTCCAGCTTGTGTTGAAAGGGATCAAGTCAGACAAATCCGTCCGTCTTTAGGTACACTAGACTTTTAGTGCTCCTCACGTAATCACAAAAAAGCATGTGAACGCGCATCACGTGCAAACACATCCGCTGGTTTCCATTGTGCCGCAATAAGACCTACTGCTTTTCCGCAAGATTAACCAAATTCGAAATCTTGTTAACTTTTTCCCTGAAAATGACATGCATGCACACACACGGCGCTATTCACATGTCGAATTTGGTCTCTTTGGATTATCACCGGCCACCACCTGCAAAACATGTTATTCGACAGGTGTAGCGTGGCCTATGAGCAGCGCGATTCTCTATGCAGCATAGCTGACTGCCTGATGTCTAGAAATGATAACAATATATCTCGGCTGCGTGGACGAAAATACCGCATGTGAATCCGACCACAACAACAGTAAAAAGTGCTGAAATTATCCAGAGATTACCCCAGCAACTGGCGTCACGATCGATATATTTTCTATCGCTGAGCCCCAGTAATATATATTTGTTTTAAGGGGCTAAATCCCTCTTCGGTATGCTCCGTATTGATGGACTGATTCACGGTGTCTGCAACTTGATAACGTTCTTTTCTGTGTCGGTGCGCTAACCAGGGTTGTTACTGAGTGGCGTTTTCTGTACAAGTGCAATAAGTCGACCCAGCCCACCCCACATCAGCTATAGAACATTATAACGAGTATGTGTCCGGCCAATTTACTAGTAATCTCTGGGTACACTATGAATCAGTTTTTCTCATCTCTGTAATACTATGTGAGCTCTGATTCATATTTCTTCCGCTCTAGAAATTTACCTGCGATATTTAATCCCTGTGCTTCTGCATACCTAATCTGGTGCACATGATATTTACGGAATGAATCCTTCACAAGCTAAGCTTTGCAAACAACCGTCCCGGCGTGTCAGCGCCATGCCAGCTGCGTCAGCTTGTATTAGTCCACCACGAACACAATTTCTATCAGTTGTTTAAGCAAAAGTCTGGAAACTGAGGTTAACACGGATTGGATAATACCATGGTATAGTCAGTAATATTGGGTGAACTACGTTTCTTACCAAACAGCAAGTGCCAAACCACGTGCTTACGCCCTCATGCCACCGTGATTTTCACATGTTGACAGTCTAATCCACATCACTTGAGCTTTCCTTTCCCTGCTTGTCTGAAAATTAATCCAACTGACAAGTGAGTGAAGCGTCAACTTCAGCTCACCAAGAGCTACATCCTAGAACTTGTTTGCCCGTTGCATGGTTTCATCAAGGCAGATAACATCATGTCGGTCGTTGAACGAGGCTACATTAAAACTGTTATCATTATCACAGTTACAGTAACCGAATTTGTGACATTATCGGCGTCAATTGCCCCCAGCAGCGAGACCCACAGCCATTCGAAAGTTTAAGATGTCGTAGGACGCCGGGACAAACAAATTGCAGAATAGCCCCCAGGAACGTGAACTTGGTGTGATCGTACAGAGCGACCTCAACTGTTCAAAACAGGCTGAGGTAGCTGCAAAAAGAGGCAACCAGCACGTCGGCATGCTGCGAAGGGCATTCGGGAGATTTGACCCATCAATCTTCCCAATGATGCTCAATTCCTACGTGCGCCCGCATATTGAGTACGCAATCCAAGCTTGGCAACCTTGGTTGAAACGCGACCTAGAAGCGATAGAGGCACCACAACGGAGAGCAACAAAGAACGTGAAGGGCCTGCGGTGTCACTCTTACCACCGAAGGCTGAAGTTGCTGGGAATTTTCAGCGGACGTTATCGAAGGCTGCGCGGCGATCTCATATTAGCGTATCAAATATTGAGTGACCCCAACCACGTATGCCGCCATTTGCTGAAACTTAGCCACAACGCGCAGCTCAGGGGTAACTGCTTAAAGTTGAAGGAACAATATAGCCGTCTAGAGTGTCGACGGAATTACTTTTCCCTTCGGGTTTGCAAACCATGGAACGCACTCCCAGACTCAGTTGTATCCTCTCCTACCCTAGATGTTTTCAAAAAACGATTAGATGTTGCTCTCAGCTCCCAACATTTTGTTACCTAAGCTCCTCTGTTGTGGATTACGCCAAGCATGTTTTCAACAGGACTAATGTATCAAATGGACCTAAGTGAGCGACCATATTTCATTTTCTCACTCCTGACCTCAACTATCACTGCGCCCCAGTGTCTTTCTGAATGTTTACGCGCGATATTTATTTTTCATTTCACACTGATGTTAATTATCAAAGTATTCATCTCGGCAGACGTTCGATAGATGACCCAGATATATTTTAATTTCATCATATTCATATTCACCGCTACCATCCTACGGGACGCGTCAAGCACTTGCTTTTATCCCGTGATAAATCATTGTTCATTGTTCATTGTCTTACCATGGAGAGATGGTGGTTTTCTAGCCAAGAGCTTTACTAACTGACAATACAGATCCTTAGTCGAAGTTGTCAAATTGGATTAACATCAACATATTTAATTGAATTATCCCCCTACGTTAAGCTGGTCACTACGATCGCAGCTGTAAGAATCCATGGTTACAATTAGCTGAACAGCACAAAACGGAGTGAAAGGAGTTGCGAAGTACAGTCGTGGAGGGGGATAATGAGGATATTATTCCAACTACACTGGGTGACATTCACCCCAACAAATAAAAGGGGTCACAAAATGAGCTGTTTGCTCTGTCCACCAGGATTTGCACTTATTCTACTGTTAGTTCGTTTCGCATTACATATGAGCCATTTTGCTGGTTGGCTGAGCAACGCTATCTGCCTTATTCGTGTTGCTAGGTCACCGCTTAAACAAACTGACACGTATGTACAGAACTGCGGAACTGCACTTTAGCATGGCCTACGTTAACCAGAAATACTGCACACCATTTAAGAATTTCTTTTAGTTCTACCCAGCTGCCATCTATCAGTGTTCACGCCACTTGGAAGAGGCACCAACATATGCACCGTTCTATTCCTTATGGTATAAGCGCACCGATGTGCTACGGGTTATAACTTTTGATATTTGGATTGGAACAACAAATGCCCTTCAGTGCATCAACAGCTCAGAGCCGTAGGAAATCCGGTGCAGATAACAAGCAGGTAACGTACGCATCGATTGCCTCGACAAACACACCGGGAGGGACACACCTAGGTCCATTTTCAGTACCGAGCACGCGTGGCGCAAAGCAGCTTTCACCGCCAACTCCAGTGGTGTCCTCTAAACAACGCGAATTGCCAACAAAAAGTATAAAGCCAACACTCACTAGACAAAACCACGCTGCGTTAACCCTCGTGTGCACCAATGTTCCCGAATCCAAATCTGGAACAATAAAAGGTAAATTGCAAGACGATCGCAACCAGTGGAGTTCCATCTGCGAGGCAATTAACATTCGGGTTGAGCCTGCAATGCTGCAACGCGTAGCCCGTCACCCGACCTCAGTGCACTCGGGTGAACCTCGAATTCTTCGAGTAACACTAAACTCAGCAGATGAGACAGAGGCTGTCCTGCTCTCAGCAGTTCGTCTTCGCAACTCACCGAGCGGAGTACGCATATTGCCTGATCTACCTTGGAAAGATCGCGCAAAAGAAGCAGTGGAGCAACACGGTATTGCTAATAGAGATAGCAAGTGAACCATATTTGTTCATGGAGTGCCCGAGCTTCTACATTCTTCTGATCACGATGCACAAACTCATGACCGAGAGCAGTGGTGCTACATCCGCGAAACACTCTCTGTAGACAATGTGATTGCCAAATCCCTGACAAGAGTGCCGTCATCACCTAACTACAAGGGCTGCGGTCCAAGGCTAATTAAAGTAACACTACACTCCGAGGGAATGACGCAAGTTCTGTTAGATAGCTGGTTAAAGTTTCGATCTAGGCTGCCAACAGAGATCCGGCTAAAAGCAGCAGGTGAACGATCAAAAGTCGGAAGCAAATCAACAGAACTTGCAAACGCAGCAAATTCCTTATCTGCACAGTCCTGCAGAGGGACCTACACAACTGCGCCCACGGCACACAGGAGAACCGAGCACAGCACCAGTGAAACTTCTGTTCAGGAATGGTTAATAATGTCATGTAACACGACTGAAATACATAAACCAAAAAACGATTAATTGACGGCCACCTAACGGCCGGCTTAAAAGCGAACACAAACTTGACATCTATCAATGAACTCCTAACAACAAAAGCCCTATCTTGCATGTATACCAACGCCCAAGGCCTTCTAAGCAAGTTGGCAGAACTTAGAGAACTCCATGCCTCACAACCGCGGGACCTCGTCATGATTACAGAGACATGGTTAAAGCCTGAGATAACCGATTCTGAGATCAATTTACCCGGTATGTCACTGCTTCGGACCGATAGAACCGGAGAGGGTGGTGGTTTGATACGTTACTATAATACAAACCTCCGATGTGAATTTATCGACCACCCGAAAATCCGAGCTCCCGATTCGCTTTGGTGCCGCCTATGTTTGCGAAACAAGGACCCATGTCTACCAGCCGTGATTTATCGCCCACCAAACTCAACGTCGGAAATGGACTCCAAACTGAACCACGTTTTCCCGATTGCTTTGAACAAGTCCTACACCCACATTCTTATCGCGGGAGACTTAAATGTGCATGACATAGAAATGCCGGCAGCCGTCGGTAGGCAGTTTAAAG